ATAATGAACATAAATATAACCTGGTTTCAGCGAACAGTAAACAAAAGCATTCAACATAATGATTTTTTTTTCCCCCTGAACAGAGCAGTTAGGTGGTCTCTCAATGAAGTGACAAACCACCGCGAAATGCTGCTGGAGAATAAGTAATATTCAATTACCCGACGGCGGCATTTCTCAGAGTGCCTCGCAATCTCCGGCGTTTATTTACCGAGCCGAAAAAGGGCAGCGGGCACTTGAACACTAATCGATCAGTTTGAGCAGGACACCGAAACCCAGCTCAGGCACGACCGAAACCCCGCGTGAACGGCTCGGCTGCCCCAGAGCTCCCGGGGGGGCTAATCCAAGAAAAAGCCCCATGCTGGGACCGGGAGCACACGAAATGGAGGTGGCATCGCACCGACAGACGCCGCGGTGCCCCGGGCACACACTTACCCACACCACGTTGTTATTGACGGAGGAGCTGGGGCCAAACACGCTGTTATCCAAGTGTGGGGAGTTCCTGCTGCTGCTCAGGGGCGATTTGGCAGGATCCTCAAAATCCAGCAAGTTCCCCGTGGCTGCTGCTGTGAACAGAGCGGAGAGGGAATGAGGCAGGAGAGCGGAAAAAGAGATCACACAAAACCAAGCCTTTCTGCAGGAACACAAGACCCCCTGGACAGGGATGCAGCGGAGCTAGCAGCCACCGGTGGAAGGTCCTGGGGACCCGCTTACGTTCGAGGTGAGTCAGGATCAGCCCTGGGCAAAGCTGAGACACCCCAGCCCCAGGACACCCTGGCCCCCGGACACACCAGCCCCATGGTGACACCCCAGCCCCAGGACACCCCGGCCCCACGGTGACATCTGCAGCTCAGCCCATGGCATCGATTCAGCATCCTACAAAAATGCATCGTTATAAGACCAGGGCAAATCCTGCCCTGGGTGAGGAGCAGTCTCCTTGGAGCCTCCATCCCTCGGAGCCCATTCCTACACCCGCGCCAGCCCCGAGCCTCCTTTATCCTGATGTGCCACCACTTGTGACAGATTCCTCCAGTCCTGGGCCTTCACACGAAGCAAGGCGACGTGCCAGCCTGGAAGGACGCCCGGTTTGATGCTATTCTGCTCTGTGCCAAATCCTCTTATCTCCAAGGCCAGCATGGAAGAGGGATTAGCCTTTTGTCCCACTTCTCCCTGCCTACGTCTCGTGAGTTTCAGAGGCAGCAGAGCACCCAGGCACTGAATTATGAGAGGTTTCACTAATTAATTGTTTTATTTTCACACGCCTCTCCTTCCTTAGGGCAGCCGGAGGCAGAGCGGCACAAGGACGTCCATCTCCTTCAGCTTGGGTCCAAGACAAACCCCAAATCCCACTCAGGACGTGTGGGTCCACGCTAAGCTCATCAGGACATTACGGCCAATTTGCCTCGGGCAGAAGTAAAGGGATTTGGGGCGGCAGGAGCTGAGCACGAGCGGCTGCGCGAGATATTTAAGGGGAGATGGACTTGGCAGGCGGCCACCGTGTCCCAAGCGCTCCGTCGAGGGCAACATCTCCACTAGGACCAAAGGGTTTGGTCTTCAAAGCCCTCCCAGGCGCTGCCCCGCTCAGGGAAAACCCCGCAGACCCCAGGCTGTCCCTGTCCCTGTCCCCAAGCTCTGCTCTCGGTGACTTACATGCGCCAGGACGGGCAGGGGCATCCGAGCTGGGGCTGCTCGTCCCTTCTCCTTCCAGCATGGACCTTTCCCGTTTCTCCTTCTCTGCAAAAGAAAGAGATGCCGTCACATCGCGGAGCACTTCCCCGAAGCCTTTTGGGAGGAGGGACTGGGGGGGACACGGCTGGGACAGGCCACCAGATCTCAGCCCAGCTCTGGGTGTAATTTATAATCTCACGGAAGGTAAAAAGCAAAAATCCCGCGAGTGGGAGGGCTGGGAGTGCAGCAGACGGTCCTGCACACCCCACCTGCGAGGCAGGAGCTCGGCCAAAGCTCGGCTGGATTTACACGGCTGTCGAGAGAAACCTGGAAGATGCTTTAAATCACCCCAGAGGTGAGACCAACCTCAACGGCAGCCGGGAAATCTGTAGGGCGAGGGGAAAAGGCACTGGAAAGCTGGAAAAACCCCAAAGTCATCCCTTGAACTTTCAGGTGAAGAGGAGGAAAAAGGGAAACAAAGCCTCACCTTCCTTAGCCGCTTGCCAGAATTCAAAGGCGATTTTGAAAGCCTGGGCTACGGTGAGGGTGACCGCCTGCGCCTGGAACGACAGCGGTGAGGCAGCACGTTAACCGACGGGTCCTCGTGTGCACCGACATCATTTGGAGGTTTTGCTTTGCAGATTTACGTTAACCTGGATCCAACCAGTCCTGCGCTCAAACACTGACGGAAGCAGAGACGCGCTCCGTGCAGGACACGCAGCTCATCGCAGACACGTCTCGCGGGGTCACGGGCAGACGGAGGAGGCAGGGACACGGCTGTCACAGCCACCGCACTGATGGATGGAGCATCACCCGCCAGAACAACCTACATCCCAAAGGGAACCAGCACCGGGGCCAAGCCCTGGACCACGCCAGAGCCAGGAGGGATGCGCAGAGCTGGGCTCCATCCCTCCCCACGCACAACCACGTGCACGAGGATGCTCCAAGAGCAACAGACAACAGGGTAAAATGCCGGGAATCTGCAGCTCCCAGGGAGACAATCTTGGAGGCAGGGTCCCCCGAGCTAAGCTGGGGTCACCCTCGCTCAGAGCTGGGCTTGTTCTGGAACAGAGCAGGCGGCAGCAGCGGGGACACCTTCCTCCTCAGCCCCTCCCCAAGCCAAGAGCTGGAGCAGCATTAAACCCCCCCACTGCCTTAAACAGCCCGAGTTGCTGCAGATATATAAATAGTGCCCGAAACGCCGGTTTCATCAGGCGCAGGCAGAGCTCAGGAGCAGCTAAGTGCACGCAGATAATGAGGATCACTGCAAGGCCGGCGTGCCGCAGGAGCCTCCAGGCGTGAGTTGGTTTTACCAACTTTGCAAACCAACAAACCCAGATCCAGGTCTGGAACCCGCAGCCCCCGGTAGCTGGGAGGATGCAGACATGGGGGGAGTGTGAAGGGAGCAGAGGCGTCCCCCGAAAGCTGGGCGAGGGGACCCAGCAAACCCATCAGTGCCAGCGACGCCCGGCAAAGCGGGAGAGCTCATCTGAGCGTCGCAGCTATTTACATCTCTGATGGAAGCGCAAACGCTTTATGGCAAAAACTTAAATATGGTAATTAAGTATGAAACTCCTCACAGCTGTTTACAATTTAAGCTGTCACATCTGAATCAAGTTTAATAGACCCAGCAACCATTGAGAATTACCCATGAACTAAAAATACGGACTAATTAAACACCCGTGACTGGTAGCTGTGCACGCATTCAGGGACCCTGCCCTGGGGCAGGGACAGTCCCTGGGCTGGGAGCGGGGCATCACCTTACCAGCGTGATGTTCAAGCATTTTACAGGCAAGGGGAAAAAAAAAATATATTTCCAGTTATTGCCACAAACGGCCTTGGAGAACTTTATTTGGAGGGAGACATACTGAGCTGATCTACCACTGAGATAATTCTTTTAGCACTGGAGAGATTTAAATTTTAATTTGCAGAGCGAAGCTTATCTTCGCCATGCAAGGATGGGAGCGCACGCCATGGAAAGGAGAGACAACTTGTAGCTTCCATTATTCTCTCCCCAGAAAAAGAAAAAGAAAATCCAAGCTGGGAGAAGCCCAGAATATTAACAGAGCTGCAGCGGCCGCGCTCTGGGCACAGGGATGCTCGGAAGGGTCGGGAATCACCGCACCGGGATGCGCTGGGTGGGAACAGCTCTTGGGATGTTTGTTTCCCTGCGGATTTGGGAGATCCCCTGCCCATCCTGATGCACTGAATCGACATGAAAAAAATCCCATGAGTGGGTTCAAAGCAAGAGCCACGGACCGTTCTCCATACACAGGTCTGCTCCACCCCCCATCCTCGGCACACAGCGGGGTCCCCCATGGAGAGGACACGGCCCGCTCTGCAAAGATGCTGCTAAAAATTGGCCAGGGAGCTTCAACGGCAAGAAATGGAAGGAAGCCAGGAGAGCGAGCCCAGAACTGCTGGCTGAATGCTTCCCATCGATGGGGACACCCTCCGGCAGCTCGCTACCAGCCTCCCCGGAGACCCCTCTGCTCGCCCGGCTCCGACCGGCGCCGGCAGCCCGGGGAAACAGATGCTGGGCAGGGAAGAGTCCCAGCAACTGGGACTCTGGGCAGGGGGGTCTGGGGTCTGCCAGCCCAGACCTTGGGGCCAAGAAAGGCTTTTACCTGCCAAGAGGATGGGCTGAATCCAGCCTCGAGAGCAATGGCCAGGCACCGGGCAGGATTATCAGCGGGAGGGTGGGTGCTCTCCTGCGGCCGTTTGCAGGGGCAGGGCCCCCCCTCGCCCTAACTAAGGACAGAGCTGTTATCTCACTGGCACAGCCCCTCTCTGCTTCCTCCTCCTACAGCCACATCCCCATTTCCTCCTCTGGACTGACCATTTTCCGTTTGGTACAGAGGAAGGCATGGCACTCCAGGTTCTCATTGAGCTGGTTCTGGGCAATGTAGGCAAACACTTTATCGTGGATCTTGTCTGCCGTGCAGTAGGATATCCTGAAAGACAGAAGGAAATGTCTCGTCCGGGGTCCTGCGGGCAAGAGAGATCAACCAACCCCTCCTCTGACCTACCAACAAGCGCCCACCGCAGGGCTGCTGGCTCCAGGGCCAGGCAGGGAAGGCAGAGGGAGTGTCACCAGGCTTCGATAAAACTCCTTCACAAAGCGGAGGAGTCGATGCCACTGGCTTGAGCACAAGAGAAGCCCAGAGCAGGTCCCGAAGCCATGGTGTGAACCATGTGCATCGCACGCAGAGCCAGGAGAGAAGAGAGAATCTTTCATCTTGTAGGGAAGGAGAGGTTAGAGGGGGTTAGAGAAATGCTCTGCCTGCAGAAGAGACTCCGGAGGATTTTCCTTGGAGGAGAAGCTCCAAGGAGAGGGAAGGACTTGTTCTCAGCCTATGATTTAATCTCAAGGCTCAAACCAGGGAAGGAAATGGATGCAAGGTCGCCCAAGAAAAGCTGTGTGCAAGGCTGGAATTCAGGCTCTGAGATCTGCAGTAGCAGATGCACAGGACACACGGATGCTCCGAGAGCCCTGAGCCCACGGGACACAGGGCAGGAGGCAGGGCTGACTCCAAAACGCCGAATGTGGCTCGGGAAGAAGAACAGGCTGAGCTGTCCGGGGAGACCAGGCTGTGAGCGAGGGCTCAGCTCCCTTCTGCAGGGCAGCGGGTCCCTCGGCATCAGCCACTGTCACCTCCCGCGGGTCCATCCGCACCAGGAGCTGCGGGACCGAGGGTCTGAAGCCAGCAAGCACCAGGCGGAGCGGCCCCGGAGGTTTAGTGCGAGGTGACAGGCGCAAGCAGCGAGCAAAGCCTCTTCCTTGGGCATGCGACAGATCCCAGAGGTGGTAAGGAAAGAGGAAAGCCAAGGAAAAAGTGGGATGCTGCAGTAAAAGCTCTCCCATGGCCCCACGATGCCCCTCCAGCGCTCGCTGACCCCAAGAGTTTGCTGGGAGGGGACAGGAAAGTCCCAGTTCCCAGAAGATGCTGGGATTTAAGAGCCACATTCAAAATTTATCTACACGGCGTTAGTTTCTCGCTGCACTAAGGATGCCTCTGCTCAGTGGCCTACATTCTGTTTTCCAGAGCCGAGCCGTGCTCTGGGTGGAAGAGGCACCTGGATGCTCGCTCCTTCCTTCCCGTTTGTTCGCCCCGGAGTTGAGCTGGTTTTACCACCCAGGCCTCTGGCAGCGGCGTTTGGCGACGGTGGCTGCGTCGTAGCCTCAGCCACCTTGTCCTGGGGCAAGAGCTCAGAGCCAGCATCATCCCGGTGAGCAGAAAAGCCAAAGAGGAGATCACAGAGGTGTTAGAGGCAAGCCCTGGGACTGCCACCGGTGCAGCACTCTCGCAGAGCGAGGAGATGACCCCCGCACCGCCCCCAGCTTTCACCCTGATCCCTGCATCACCGGGAGCAGCATCAATCCTTTAAGGATTCAGGATACGCTGACTCCAGCCAACTGAAGGAGGGGATGCTCCTACCCAAGCACTGACCGGGAGGAAGAGCTTCATCACCGGCTGTTAAAGCCTCTGGGCAGAATTTAAGGCAGCACCTAAAAACCCAGCCCCACAGCTCTGCTTTTACACCAGCGTGGCAGTCTGGATTTTGGCGTGAGCGTGGCTGCGTTGCCCAGCTCTGCTCTTTAGCAGTGGGTTCGTCTCCCGGGGAGGGCGGGGGGCTCAGCACCGGTGGCTGTACGCGACGGCTTGGTTTAAACCGGAGAAAAGCAAGCAGGTTAGTGGTGTGGTTAGAGAGCCTCAGCCCTGCGCTCCCCGCCCTGGATTTTGCACAGGGGGACAGCGCAGCAGGGGAAGGACAGAAGCAGAGTGTGGGGATGAAGAAGGACAAGGGACAGAGGAGATGGAAAGGGCTGGATCCCAGCTGAGCTCTGTTCCACCAGGTCTGCGCCTGCCTCCAGCCTCTTTGGAAAAAATATTTCCCAAAGGCAGAGGAGCGGATACGGGATAATCCATCCTCGCCCTCCCCACATGGCTGCCCCAGCCCTGCTCTTCGTCAGAGCTAATTAAACCCAGCAGAGGTGCAGAGCAGCCAGCGAGGGGAGGGCAGCCCCGGCTCCGGTGTCCTCTCCCACTCGGGGATGCTCAGCCCATCCTCTGTGTTTGACTCTTGCCATCACTCTGGGTGCTCCAGCATTTCCACTGCCGGGAGCAGGCGGTGAAGCCACCCGTGGCTGCAGATCTGCATTCTGCACACACAGAGCCTCTGGGCTCGTCGTGTCTTTCCTTATCCCTCACTGCACCAGACATAAATTTACCTTAAATTTAGCAACCACCCTCCTTCCCCCACCAGTGCTTTCCATCAAGACGTGACGGCCGGTGAGGCATCATCCGGATGGAGAATGGAGCAGAGAGGGACCCTGGGGACACGCACCCACCGAAGCGCATCCCATCCCATAACCCACCTGTATATGGAGACGTTCTCGATCAGCTCATTCGTTCCGCTGTCGTTTAACACGATCCCTCTGGGCGAGACTTTCAGAGTCACTTTCTGCAGTTTCTTTCCACTCGCTTTCGCCTTTGGAAGGAAAAGAGGGTGAGGAAAGATCCAAGCTGTGAACACCGATACGTCTGCGGTGCACGGGCAGAGGCTCCAGATCCACGCTACCCAACAGGCATGTTAACAGCACTCGTTAGTACTGGAGGAATTTACTACCCAGGCGTGATAAGACACTCGTTAAAACTTTCCTCCCCTGAAGCAGTGATTTCTGCCGGCATTCACGAGACGAGGACACGCACCATCCACCCCACGCTCCGCGAGGATTTCCTGTGGGCATCCGCAGGGAGCAGCGGCTGCTCTGCCCACGCTGCGCACGGCTGCGAGTGCTCGGTGAAACCCCGAGGAGTTCTGTCCTTAGGGTCAGCTCCGGAGCAGAGGGGACATCAGCACAAAGCCACGCTCACGGGAACCGCGTCAGGAGGGGACGGTCCTGCGGGACGCGGGCTCCCACGCAGCTCTGAGCTGTGCTGCTGTTTTTTTTTGAGCATCCCCCCCACCAAGGTCAGGCTGCTGGCTTAAAAAGTGACCGGACTTTTAAGGGCCACTTTCTCCTATTTCCTAGTCTTGTGCTTTCAGCCTTCAGGTTACATTCAGCTCACCGCCCAGCTTCTCTCCAAAATAAAAATACTCCCTGAGCCAGCTGCAGCCCTGGATCCTCAGCCCTGCTCCCTGGGGACCTCACTTGAGCCGCATCCAGAGCGGCCGGCGGTGGGTCCTGCCCCTCCGCAGCTGGGCTCAGCCCTGGGGCTCCGTTCTGGTCGATCAGAGCAGACACCAAGGGCTCTGCCAGCGGCTCCTGTTTCATGCAAGCGCTCCCCTCCCGTCCGGCTCAGCACATGCCAGGAAAAGATCCGTCGTTACCCAGCACAGTTCGCCACCCCATTGAGTTTTACGATGGTTAACGGTACAGTTGGGTCTTTGCCTCATTCAGCTTTATAAGGACTTAAAGAAACGTTAATTTTACTCGGAGCCCGGTGAGCTGGGGCTCTGGGGAGACTCGGTGCTAGAGGACGGCTGAAAATAGGTCCCTCTTGCACCAGAGGTTACATCGGGACCAGGCTGTAGGACTGGGCATCGGAGCAAGCTGTCCTGCTCCCTTCTCCTCTTAACCCTCCAAATCCCGGGAAGAACACCCAGAACCGTACACCAGCTCTCGCTCACATGCTGCCTGCGCTCAGAACGCTGCCCCTGCCTTGCAAGAGGACAGCCTGCCCTGGGGAAGGCTGATTTCACCAGGTCAGAGCTTCTCCCACACCCCGGGTCACCCCAAGCTTATCAAGGGGACCCAGAGCTGAGACACACCACCAGCTCCCCGCAGCCTGTCCCATCCCCGGGCTGGCCCCAAGGGCTTCCCAGTGCCGCCGTTGGCGTTTCTACCCACCCCACCAGACACCTGCCCACCTCTGGAGGGGCTGGACCCCCAATCCCGACACCCCCCAGCCTGCAGACGGACAGTGCTGCCTCCGGAGCCGTGGCTTTTGAAACCCCCCAGGAACAGACTGGTTTGAGCAGCAGGAGACGGGGCTGTGCTCCAGCACGGACACTCACCGTAGCCACGATCCTTTTGATGGCAGCCGCAGAGAGCTCCTCGCCCTTGGGCTGCTCCACCAGCGTCATGCCCATGTACTTGAGGCTGAAGAGCATCCCCTCCAGCAGCGTCTCACGGGTATCGGTCCAGTTCTCCGGGAGCTCTAGAGAGGCAATAAAGAGGCTCTTAGATTCCCAAATGCACAAGAACACCCACTACGCTCCGAGGGAAGGTTTGGGTATGAGCAGGGTGATGGTTTAGCTCCTGTCTGGACCCCTGTGTCTGTGCAGTGCTGCCACAGCTGCAGGAAGGAGACGGGGCAGAGGCAAGAACAACCCCCCAAATTTTTTCCATGAGCCACAGCAAATGGTAGCGACCCTTGAAGATCCATCAGCTCCTCAGTTTAACCCTGAGCATCCAGCCCACACCACAAGCAAGGGGCTCCCGAGCCCCAGCCAGGCGCAGGGGGGCTCAGCGCCGGCCCACGCACGGCAATAACCTCCCCCCGCGCTGCCCATCACCTACCCGCAGAGGCTAAGCCGGGATTTGCCGCCAGCTAAGCCCACGCGCAGCCGCAGGGATCCAGGTGATGCGCGGGGACTTGCTAAATCCGTCACCAAAACCCCTGAGGGGCAAAGCTTCAACGGGGGAGGTTTCTGTTTTCCCCCCAAGATCACCAAGGGACCACCAGCCTCCTCCCTTATGTGCTGGGGGGTGGGAAAGAGGGTCCTAAATGCAGAGACTAAGTCTGGGACCAAACTGGCAGTCAGGTGAGTATTTCTAAGCCTGAAATCGCACCACAGGGCGCGGAGCCGGTGACCCAGGATCTGCAGCTCTCATTTTAAGAATTTGCTTCGAGCAGGAGACAACAAACCACGAGGTGCCCACGGCCCTGGGGAGCGATGGGGCTCCTGGAGAGGAGCCTCCACTCGCTGCAGACTAAACCCGTCCCTGATGCCTTGGATTCACCCCCCTTCGGCTGCCTCCAAGCTCCCCACAAACCTGCAGCGCCGGGAGGGCAGGGCTGCGGGGGGGACGGACGCGTCCCTGGGGTAACCCCGGTGACTCAGCCTCGGGACGGGAGATAAGCCCTAAACCCGGCACCACTCCCAGCGCCGGACGCTGAACCACCCCAGTGCCTGGCACTGGGTAAGGTCGGAGTGACAGAAGTGGGACCCCAGGAAGGGGCTCTGTGCCCCCAAACCTGGAGAGGGAAAGGAAAAACCAAAGACAGACGGGATGCTGTGTTTATGTCACATCCCGGCCAGAAACAGAGGGTGCCAGTGGAAAGTCTGGATTTCTCAAAAGCCACTGTCCTCCCACCCTTGGCGGCCGAAGCCAGGTGAGCACGCCGGGGCGGCCGAAGCCAGGTGAGCACACCGGGGCGGAGGGCAGTTTGCCTGCGATGGACGGGCAGCTGCCTGCCCCACGCTCCCTGCCTGCTACCCAGGCACAGCGCGTGCCCCCCATCCCGTCCCGCATCCCGTGCAGGGCAGCTCGGGGCCTCTCTGAGGAGAGGGACCCCCCCCAAAACACCCCACCCTGCC